CATCTGATCAAGTCTGAATTTAAACAGACTCAGTGTTTCACTAGAAATTTCATCGAAAGAAACGGAGTTTTTTACGATAATTACTGAGCTATTTATTCAACCAAAGTAATTTAACAATACAGTTGTTGAATTTTTTTAATAATTAAAAACGCCCCCCCCCCCCCCCTCAAAAAAAGTCAATTTTCGTCAAAAATTACAAAATTGAGATAAATGCATGGGAAGATAGCCCGTCTTCAGATGTTTCAGACTTGATATGTTTTTTTATCCAATAACCCTTTTTTGTCCGAAAATTTTGATAGTTTCTGTAACCGGCTGCATGAAAAATATGATTTTTTTGAAAAAAACAGATTTTGAGGTTTTTGCATGGAAAATAAGTACTTTAATGAAAATCAGAGACGTTTTAACAAGTTTTATTAATCGTTATAGAAAAATCAAAATTCATAAAACAAAAAATGAGAAACAGACTGACTGATAGAAAAGAAAAAAGCTTTATTTAAAAAAAAACTTGGATCTGACAAGGTTCACATAAAAAAATTGTTTAATAAACTGTTATTTATTCTTCTTCTTTCCATCTTCTTCTGTCTTTTGGATTATAATAACCATATTCGTCAACACTAGTTTCATCATTCTTTCCAACATCTTCATTTGTTCTCGTATCAGGATTAAGAATTGTTTTATCATCACTATCATTGGATGATTCATCACTACTTGATGTTGTATCATTATCGTCAGTAATACTTTCATCATTATCAATAATTGTTTCATTATCTTGAGTTGTTGGTTGATCACCGGGATTTGTTTCATTATTATCATCATCTGCTTCTTCATCAATATCTATTGTTTTATCATCATTACCAGATGCATTATTATTATTTGTTTGATCATTATCAACATTTTTTTGTACATCACGACCAGCTTCTTTTCTCGTTTTTCTATTACTTGTTTTTGATTCAGAGTGGAGACGACTGTTGTCAAAGTGAATCATTGCTTGATCGGTGTAATAACCACGATAACCACACATGTTGTTGAAAAGATCTCCTGTGAAAAATCAAAAGACATTATTAGTTTATATGTATCAAATATTTTAATTATAATTAAAACGACCTGCGAAAATATTTGTATTCTCTTACCTAATGCAAAATATCCATCATTAAATATTATTATTGCAAGATGACAAGCAATTTCAAATGTTGTTCCAGATGTTGTTTTGTGTTTTGGTGACATAAGCCAGACAAGCGAATGAAAAACTTCGTTTGGATTTTGACTTGATGCATCAAGTACACGTTCAAGACTTTTCCGAGAACAGAGGTTGTCAAAAACAGGCTTGATGGCATCAAGGACAGGACGAGGTAAAGCATGTGGTGTATGATCATACGATGTTCCATCACGAGCAGCTTTTAAATAACCACACCAATCGATGCTGCAAGAATCATGACGAGGATCATCATTGGTCGAATATTTATGCCAAAATATAGCCCACGATCGCTTGAATAACAAATCCAGATCGTGTTTGCATTTTCGAATGGTAGAAGCAAATGCCATTTGTAACCGGATGATCTTTTGTTCTAAAACAAAAAAAAACATTCAGATTTACCATTTGTTTCATTTTCAAAATTTTTTCATGTCTTAAAAAGACTTACTGGAAAGACGATTTTTATCACCAATAGTTTTACCATCAGATACTTGTTTTTTTCCATATTCACGTTTTTTTGTTTCCCGTTGACGCTTCATTCTTTTGCTAAAATGATTCAAGTCTTCGATTTTCTTGATCACTTTTCCTAAAAAGACAAAACTATTGATGGTGCTTCAAACGCAATAATATTTTGAAATAAAATAAATTATATTATACCTGGATATGGCGGTTTGTCAGAAAGTTTAGCAAATGTTTTTGAATCACCATCACCAACATACTTTATGTAATAAATTTCATATTTGGAAACTGATCGTTGGAACATGTTAAGAACAGCATCAGCTTCTATTGTGCCCGAACTTTTGTTGTAGTTTTTTTCGCAATGATGTGATCTAATAACATCATTGTACTTAGCTGGATTAGATTTTTTAATAGCAAGTGCACCTAAAAAAAAAGATTCAATCAAGAAAACAACAAAAAAAGAAACTCACTCATACAAACATTACATGTTTTACTACATGTTTCAATATCAAGTACTTTTGGTGTTGTATTACAAGAAAGAAGAGCTGCTGCACCATGTCTACTTTGAAAGCCTCGGGTCTGCCAAAATCCATATCCACTAACCATTAATTCTCGACCATTTGCAGCAGTCACAGCTTCTTCAACAGCTTTTTTCATTGATCGATCCGAAAATGATTTTACGGAAACTAATAAATCTTTATCCCATTTGGAATATCTTTCATCTTGAATTGGACTTGGTAAATTCATAGCACCCTTTAATTTTACTAATCCAGCATATCTAATACCACATAAATGGCTACCAATTTGTGAACGAACATTAATATCTCGACGATCTGATGCAACAACCTTCGGACTTGTTTCTGAAAAAAATTAGAAACAAATGTTGCACGTATTAATAATATTCAAAGCTTCGATAGTTCGAAGAAGTTACTTACCAATGGTGATGGTATTTGTACATGATGAACAATGAAAAGATAAAATCACAAATAAACCTTCGCGTTTGTTGATGTTAATTGTTCCATTCCAACGATTTCCGCAACCTTCACAATTTGTCTTGCACATAAGAGTAAATAATACTTGATTTTGCAAGATTGTGTATCCATCCATAGGTACATTTGAATTTGAATTTGCTGATGTTGATGTTATATCCAATTTTGTTCTTTTCGTAATCTTTTGATGTGATGGTAAAGATGAACGTTTTGAAGATGTTGATAGATTTGACGTTGTTGTTCGTAATGTTGATGTTGTATTCGATTGTAATGATGATGCAGATGGTGGTACATTTTGACGAGCATGTTTGAGAAACGCACGTCTGCTATATCTAGTAGAAAAGTCTTGTTTATTATAAGAATAAGAAGTTTTAGATTATTTATTATTTTTCCTTCTTATAGAAACTAAGACAATCAATAGTTTTAGGTATAGAATAATTCCATTAATTAGGCATATAGAATATAGAACTTTGATTCTAGACACTCACCGTCTTGTATAAGTTCTTCTCCTCGGCATTATTTTTAAGATCACCACCGTCAAATATAAAATTGTAATACTATAATAAGCAAATAATCTAAAATAAATAAAATATTAAAAACCGATAGTTATCCATGAACATAAGGTATTAAACTTGCTTGTCACCCTTTCAATACCTCATGTCATCTTGCAGAAGACATATAGAAAGAAAAAAAAAGAGGTCGCTATTGAAAGAGTTAAAAACACATTAACAAAACTATATATACGCAGTGAAAAAAAACGAAACACAAATCTTTATATATACTTTGAGTACGGCTATACCTCAGCTGAGATCAAAAAAACAGAGCAGAGAAGAATAAGAGAAACAGAAATATGGACAACCATATGTTTCAGTACAACCAAGATAGATTATCTCAATCTGCCATTTATGACGTTATTTTTCTCTATCCTCTTTGTCCACAGCTCGCTCATTCGCTTACTCTTTCTTCCTATCATGTCCATTTTTACAAACCATGAGTAATGCTTTAGTCATCTAAATGTCATGAAATGTTGTATAAATATGATTTATAAAAAAAGAGGATTGAGGTAATATACAATTGATTGTAGTACAATGTTTTGAACCAAGTCCAATGTGATTATGTCGTAGAAGATAGAACTATTTATGCAAAGACACTCAACAAGTTACGAAGAAGTATATTTATATACACTTTACAAAGATATATGACAGTTGATGATTATTCTCTTCAAATATGCCAAAAAACCGCGTAAAAGTACGAAAATCTTGAAAAATTTAGGTTCAAAAAATGTTTTTCGTTTTTTCTCGATTTATGATTTTTTGATTTTGGTACAAGGATTTCTCAGTCCGGGTCCGTCCAACACATTTAA